ATTTTTCAAATTTTTCCCGTTATTCATATTTTGGAATTGTGGGCCATATCAACTGAAGCTAAATTATGAGCAGCTTGCAGTATTAAGTAAAGAAAGGCTGCTACATTTCGTAGATTTGCGCTGCAATAGTCGTGTAGGTACTCAAGGCTAAATATTCAATCTCCAATCTTGCTTTCTATCATGTTTAAATGACATACCAGTGCTTGAATACACTCTCTTATATAACAACATTTAAAAAAGAAAAAGAATAAGTAATGCAAAGTCAGTAAAAAAGAAAGGATAACACTAAAGTTGATAGTTGTAAGAATATTGAACATTTTACTTTCTGTACTTCAAAAAAACACTTCATTAGTACATTATATTAGGAATGTTTTCAATTTAAGCAATATACAATGCTCAACTGCAGCCGCGGCCATGATGATGGTAACAGCAAGGACGGAGGAACATTGCATAATAAAAGGTATTAATGAGTATGAATATAATAATATATCGAATAACAAAGTTAATATGTGACAAACTGTTGCATTTACAATAACACAAGCACATAAGCGACCACCAGATCTTTGAAATGTCTCAAATAGATATGTATGTCCGGATACATCTAAGTTATGACTGTGTTATGTCGGCCTCAAAGAATTCTCATTTCTAGAACAATAATTGAATTTATGCTAAACTTTGGGTCGAGGCGAGCTGGAATCACTTTACCACGTAATACTAGTATGCTATTCTGTGATACTAGTTTCAATATTTATGGTGAGTAATTCTAATGAAACAACTATCATGGCATAGTTTCATTTTTTGTTAAGTTCTTTATTTAAAATTTAGAAAATAAGAATCCCTAAAAAAAGCCCAACACGGCAAAATTGTAAATTTTACAGGCACGATTGAGCCTGTTCATGAACGGTACTGTAAAGTGCAAACTAACGTCCACGCCCCCTAGCCCGGCTTAATCAGAATTTAACATTGAAACATGAAATTTAAAAAAATTGAATTTAGAAAAACATCCGCAGATGTGTTCATACGACGGTTATCATGGAACCTTCAATGTGACACTTCCGTGCCATTCCATGAAAAGCGGCATATGGTCCCCCAAGTAATAAAATGCATCGAGGAACACTACAAACACTACACGAGCATTGACGCAACGAACTTTTCTCGGTTTTGTATAGGTATTTTTGATAACATTATAGAAACATTTCTTTACATTCAGGCTTCAGTGATGAAGTGGTAGAAATTCCAATCGATCCTCGGGATTCTCTTGATCTTGTCCAACAAAGATTAATTGAATTACCGGCAGGTGACACTGACTGCTCCCTGCCCATGATTGACGCAATAAATAAAAAGATTAAAGACATCGACGTGTTTGTTATCTATACTGACAATGAAACAGGGTGAGTAAAAGTAACAAGTTTACACAGTGAGCTTCTTTTGTTTCATTCTAAGTTATTCGAGTTTTTTTATGGAAGAACTTGCTGTGAAAAGGACTTAGAGATATTAATGCATTCATGCTAGGCAGTTGTCAAACTTATTTCTTGCTCCAGAAACAGTTGTAGCATTTTGGGGAATGAGATGAATTTTAAGATCAAATGTTCCGCATTGTCTTTAACTTAATTGGAATCACACAATTCTAATTTGGTTTTATTTCTAGGGTCGGGAAGTGTCACCCGTTTAAGGCACTAGAATGCTACAGGGAATACTCGGGAAAACGTGATGTCAAGCTAATTGTATGCGGAATGTCTGCAACAAGATTTTCAATAGCCAATCATGATGATCCTTACATGCTAGACGTGGTAGGATTCGATTCAGCCGTTCCATCTATCATTTCCAGGTTTGCCATTGGTCAGATATGAAGGATAAAAGGTTGCAAATGTACGACGCTCAATACTATCCATCCATTACAAATGATTAGAAAAGTTTATTTTTTATGTATTTTTCTCCAGTTAGTTTGTCAATGGTCATTCAAAGTTTGCAATTGATATGTGTTTGAATTTGTGTTTTTGAAGAAAATCAGCTGTTGAAATTATCCTATACGACGGTCTGAAATAGAAAAAAATCGTTAATAGTGCGAAAAATGGGAAAAGTGCGGGGTACGATAACTTACCGCATGAAGTTTTAAAGTTTCCCATCATAATCGATGTTTTGTTTTCATTGATTAGTTTATGCTTTAAAACAGGAATCATCCCAAGTATATGGCGAAAAGCATTTATTTCTCCGATACCAAAGGACAATAACAAAGACAAACGTGTACAACTAAACTATAGAGGTATTAGTCTGCTGTCAGTTGTTAGCAAAATGTATTCAGCGTTATTAAAAATAGATTACAAGAGCAAAATCTACTTGCTGATGAACAAAACGGTTTCCGTTCTAAAAGGTCATGTGAGGAATATGTATATACAGCTTGTACCATTATTAGAAATAGACTTACAGACAAACAAGATATTTTGGTACGTTCATTGATATACAGAAAGCATTTGACTTTGTTCATAGAAATATTCTTTTATACAAACTTCTGTCAAAAAATATTAATGGTAAATATTATAATTCTATTAAGTCAATTCTAACGGACACATTATCGTGTGTTAAACTTAACGGTATGTTAACAGACTTGTTCATAACCGTGTCAATGTCAGACAGGGAGACAGCAGTTCTCCCACAATTTTCGCATACTTCATAAATGATCTTGTTGAAGGCTTAAATCGTCTTAACAAAGTTGTTAAGTTTTATGATGATATTATATGTTGTTTATTATGACGATATTTTATTGTTATTTGAAAATGAAAGGGATATGCAGAATATGTTAAACTATATTAATGATTGGTGCAGAAAATGGCGACTAACAATTTATGAGTCGAACTCAAATGTTATTCATTTTAGATGCAAAGGAAAAAGTCAAAGTAATTTTACATTTCACATTGGTGCATCGGATATTTTGTTTACATCTGCTTATAAGTATTTGGGTGTTTTGATGCATGAACATTTAGATTTTTCGTACTCTGCTGATATTCTTTGTAAATCAGGTGGTCGAGCACTAGGTCCAATTATATCTAAAATTCAGAAATAAAGATATAGGCTTTAAAACATATACAAAAATATATTACTCTTGTGTTGTGCCTGTAACTGATAATTGTTCTTCAATATGGGTTTTAAAAAACTTCAAGAAACTAGATATTACACAGCATAGAGCAATCAGATATTTTATTGGTGAACATAGATTTGCTCCGATACTAGCAATAACTGGTGATATGGGGTAGATTTGTCGGTTAATATACTGAGACTATGGAATAGACTTGTACATATGGGTGATGATAGACTCACGAAGAAAGCGTTTTTGTATGATTATTTTACTGTTGGAAATACATGGTGTTCAGACGTTAAGCACATTCGTCAACAAGTTAATATGTCACATTTGTATGACAACAAACTTCCGGTTGATTTAAACAATATTGAAGACTTTCACTATACAAATCAAATTGGTCTGACAATATTACAAATGTGGCAAAACTGAGAACATATGTTACATTCAAACAAGACTTTGAAACAGATAAATATCTCATGTCTTCCTTAACTAAAGTAGAAAGGTCGCATTTAGCGGTATGCTTCCGCTCAAACTAGAAACAGGACGATATGTGGGATTACGTGTTGATGAAAGAATATGCACTCTTTGTACTGACAATGTTGTTTAGGATGAAACTCACTTTGTATTGAAATGCTCTAGATGCAACGATTTACGTGTTAATTTGATTTCCAAATGTAAAGAGAGTAGCAGTGACTTTGACAATATGTCTGATATTCAAAGTTATGTGATACAAAATCAATATGTAAGCGCTCCAAAGTTTATTGTAGAAAGTATGAAAAGAAGAAGGTTATATCTTTATAAATGAACTGATGTTTTACATAATAAAAATTTACTTGAAATTTTGATATGCTTTGCTTGATTATACAATTCTCATATACGGAATTTTAATGATTGACCACTGTATTTCCGATTAATTTTTCTATGCTTTACATGTTTTATTGTTAATCATTTATATGAATTGTATATAGCTTAAAGTGACTTATATGCCCAACGTACCCGGGTGTTATAATTTGTTACATGTATGATTATTATATTTTACATAACACAATGTCACTATAATAAAATTTACTTACTTACTTACTTACTGAATATGATTCTCCACCTTTTTGGAAAAGACCCAAACAAATTACATGATATCAAATTACAAGATTTTTTTTACTTGCAGTACATGTAAAATGCCGATTTATTTTATTTTTATTTGTTTCTTATTCTGTTTTCTTTGCGTATTGATTTTGTGTATGCATGATAATATTTCTAAACATAGCATTTCGTACCGAGCAGCCCGTTTAGCTTTTAAGGTCTAGGATAGGCCCACTCATTTTAACCACAATAATTTTCAGATAGTTATCTATAAATAGAATATATAGTCATATATGATTTCGTGGCGAAAATTTGCCGGAATTCCACCTAATAAATATTTAACATAAGATACTAATCATCATTTTATATTTAGCTTTGTTTTTTTCAGTATTTTCAGATATTGTTTTGATGTGATTGTACTATATATTTTTGTACAGTATTTTTCAGTTTTCATTTTTTACTTTTACTCTGGTAGTAATATATGATTGTGCTTTTATCTTCTTCTTTTGTAACTGACGTTGTTTATTTGTAAATACGGTACACTGATTGTGATAACTATACAGCTAATATGTGATTCTACCATGCTGTTAAAATATTTAGTTAAAAGGTTGTTGATTTATCTAAAACCTATGAATGGTTCTTGATCTGTGAAACTATTCTACTCATTTTCTTTTATCGTTGTTTTATTTTGTAAATTATTAAATGCTTTGTTGAAATGAAACGAGTTTGTTTGGTTTTTGAATAAACATGGAAGTTTGGTACTTACAATATGGAAAGATTCCAGAAAAATAAAAGAGAAAACTGCGATTATATCCAACCGTTACACTGGTAAATCGTACCAGTAATGTAGAGTTATCATAATTGAGATTTGGCAATTTTGTCTATAAGCTTATAGACACACTTTCATAACCGTTATTGGAATCAACCAGTACTGAGCAATAAGTGTTTCTTGTTAAAGGTAACAAGGACTTGCCAATGATGGGGTTTAAAAGCAGTGAGGCTAGCGATCATTAGATTACTAGTCCGACGCGTTAACCACTCGGTCATGCCGCCTCTTTCAAGTGCATGTAACTATATAGGGGTCGGTTTAGGGGATGACGTCACGAGCAACGCGGATGACGTCATTATTCTATTTTTAGAAAACGGTTTTCCCCCAATTGATTTTTGTGACGCAATACGTATAATTATCTGATGATTAATAATATCTGTATGACTCAATGGCCGATCCTTAATTCAGCGATTTTTCAACAGTGAATCATTGATAGCGTCCCTACGTTATAGCGTCATCTTCATAACGTCCCTATCGATTTTATTCAGCGTCCAATGAATTTAAACTTATCGTCCCTACGTGTAGCGTCATTCAGGATGAATCATAGCGTCCCTATTAATTTTTAACGTTATTCTTCGCGACGCGTTATTCATCTTCCAATGAAATTAGATGTTGTATACCTACGCCAATAACGCTAAAGTGGACGGGATTTTTTTTTAAATAGCGTCATTTAGCTACAAAGTTCAGTAACAATACTACGTTGGTTCCTGGTTAGTGATTTTAACTGGGAGAATAATTAATATATAGGGATTAACGAATATATAAATCTTGTAAGTAACACTTATTTTTTATGTTTTCATCGTAAATAAAAATTAGCAAATTGTTACATTTATTTCGCAAAAAAATATTTTGCAAACATCGTGTTTTCATTTGTGCGAATATAAAAAAAATATTTTACTGAGATAACCATAAACGTAACTTACCGAGTTTTATATCCAATTATTCGCCTATAATAACTTAAAATAAATCCGTTTAAATTTTACGCTATTTTATTTTTTTCTTCTTTTTATACATTTAAATTTCATTTTTATTTTAAAGTTTTTCTTTTTATTCCACTTTCCTTATCATCTACCCGTTTCAAATAAAAAAATAAAACATTTATTTTAAAGTTATTAAGTCGCAATTATAAAATGTTAAATAATATAAAATCACTATTTATTTATTTATTTATTTTATTTCTAATACTTAAAGTATTTGATCGCATTTATTAAAATTTTAATTTCAATAGTGCAAACAGTAAACATAATACATACTCAACTCCGTTACCCGATTTTTCAATCAATTTACTTTACTAGAACTATTCATTAGAATTTAACTATTAATGTATCAAACCGTCATAATCTTTTCTTAAAAATAGCCGTTTATACTAAAATTACTTTATTACATTAGTTATTATACCTATGTTATAAAAAATATACTAGCTATAGCGCGACCTTAAATTTAGAGTTTTATTACCGTCTAATGCTAAAATCGATAACTGTGCAGCGATTGCAGTTATTGGATGAATATAGGAACGTTACTGCGTTTCGGAACTAATCGATAAATAGTCTTATAATTTAAGTACTAATATAGACTCACGCGATGACGCATTCTTTTAATGATCCCTCATTAGTGAGTAACAGTTGACTCACGCGATGACGTCGTAGGGCCGGGGGGGGCAGAAAAAGCCGTATATACTAAAATTACTTTATTACATTAGTTATTATACCTTCGTTATAAAAAATATACAAGCTATAGCGCGACCTTAAATTTAGAGTTATATTACCGTCTAATGCTAAAATCGATAACTGTCCAGCGAATGTTTCACTAACAAAGTTTGCACTATTACCCTATGCTACGACCGGATGTAAACAATACGTTCGCACAGGGCATGCGCGGTGGTTAAATCCCACCCATTTTATTCGATTAAATTCTAGAACAACCACTACTTTCGGTTTCAATTTTGCTGACAAAGAACAGTTTGAGTCAACGTAAGTGTTAATTTTAATTTCAATGTCCAAAACTTTGCACTACACGGCAAAATTTTCATTACATATCCGTATTATCATCGTCATGGTAGTTTTTATTCCAGTCGGTCAAAATGACGGTACACATTTACATGTAAACAAACAGATTTAACTTCTCAGACAATCTAAATAAGGAATGGACACACGGTAAACTCTGTTGCAACGTAAAGTATATTCATAAACCTGTTTGAGAAAAATTGTCTCCGTGTTCAAATAAATTTCAAATACTGGAAAAAAATCAGTCTTTTACCGATACCCTGCAACAGAACCTTATTATTCTGATGAATTAAATTGACTTTATAACGCTCGTATACAATTATTTATTGATCGATTTTCATTATATTTATTTTGTAATACCTATCATTCAATATGCAATCAAACAAAACCAAGTTTTCCTACATTCAAGGAAACTGTTAGTTAGGACGAGCTTTTAAAACGAACAGGTAGCAATTTACAACACGCTTACCGAAACTCCAACATGGCGGCTCATTTGCATAATTTATTCATAAACGCAGGAGCATAGAACTTTGTTAGTGTGTTTCCCGGATGTAGTTATTGGATGAATATAGGAACGTTACTGCGTTTCGGAACTAATCGATAAATAGTCTTATAATTTAAATACTAATATAGACTCACGCGATGACGCATTCTTTTAATGACCCCTCATTAGTGAGAAACAGTTGACTCACGCAATGACGTTGTTGTATCGGGGCCTGGGGGTAGGACCAGGCATTCTGTTAATGATCCTTCATTAGTCAGTAACCGTTGACTCACGCGTAATACGTCATATACTAATATAGACTCACGCGATGACGCATTCTTTTAATGATCCCTCATTAGTGAGTAACAGTTGACTCACGCAATGACGTCGTTGCAACAGGGTCGGGGATAGGGCCAGGCAGTATTAATGCTTGAACACAATTACATTGTATATTATTCGTCTAAAATTCATTCTCTTTTAGAATTATTGAAAAATCGAGTCATTTAATAATAAGTAGCATCAATTTGACTTAAGAGCATTCAATACAATTATTAAATGCCTATATTTTATATTACGAATATATATAAATATTTACTTCTATTTTTGATGTTATATTTTCCGTATTCAAAATCAGAATGAGAAATATTTGGATTTTTTTATAGAATAATATTTATGTAAGCAAATAGCAATTTACCTAATTTAAGCAATTTTAACAAGAGTATCTCACCTGTAACAAAACAGTGTGCGAATACAGCACACAGTCATTTTCGGACTATGGCTATTGTTATTAGATTGTTATGTTAGTAATTTTGTTGTAAGGCGGTAACTACAAGTTGAACTAATTTTATCGATTACATGTTGTAGTCTCGCCTTTTTATTGTTAGTCTCGCCTTTTTACGTCTCGGCTGTATTTTTATATTTCTTCGCTGTACTTTTATTTGTTAAGATTAAATAAAACATGTTTATACTAGCAATATTATGCTTTTAAAACATACATAACATCGAAAAGCGCTCCGTACAATTATGTAAAGGAGAAATTTACATCCTATAGCCTTTTAATTATTTTTACATAAATATGTATAATAATTTTGTATTCATTCAAGATGGATAACGAAGTAAGAAAATTGATACAAGATGTACTAATAGTTGGTGTTAATAAAGAAGAATTCCTTGACTTTTTTGAATGTCTCGGGTTACAAAATCACCCGGCTGTAATTGAGGCATTGAACCAAATGTTACTAGAAGAAACAGTCGTTATTCACTTTATTTATTTATTTATTCATTTATTTACTTATTTATTTATTTATCTATTTATTTATTTATAATCAACCGATATTTCCTATGCTGTATGTATATTTATTGATACATACGATATATTTTCAGACGAGAACAAAATATTAACGCGCTACAGATAGAAAAGGGCGCTGCCGTCAATGTTAGCAATGCGATAAAAGATTTACGCTGAAAAACTTCGGAATGTAAGCTTTATAGAAATTTATTTTTTATTCTTAACCATACGAAATATATACAAGAGCCGCAAAATCAAGTTGAAAGTATTATTAATTTTAACTAGTTAATTGTTTATAGAGTTATAACAACCAATATGAAGACAACTAAAAAAAAACTATATTATGTTAAAAAACTTACAATTAATTCTCCGTCGAAGGATTTTTTCTGAAAAGATATATATACATGTATATAACAATTTTTATACAGCGACAAATGATAAAACATATATTAAAGATCATAAATTTATACGCTGTTTAATAAACCCTATAATTTAATTATTATCCGTTATCGTTATAATTTTTCATCATGAATTATAAAAGAAATAAATAAATTCCTGTATTAATACTGGAACACAATTACATTGTACCTACGCGATGACGTCGTTGCAACAGGGCCGGGGGCAGGGCCAGGAAGGGCCAGGGCAAGGCATTCTCCCCAAGTCTGCATCCTAGTAGTAAAATTTACTAACGATTGTTTCAGAACTAATCGATAAATAGTCTTATAATTTAAATACTAATATAGACTCACGCGATGACGCATTCTTTTAATGACCCCTCATTAGTGAGTAACAGTTGACTCACGCGATGACGTCGTCGCAACAGGGCCTGGGGGTAGGGCCAGGCATTCTGTTAATGACCCCTCATTAGTGATTATTTACAACCAATTAAGTACAAAGGTTTTTATCTTATCTATAAAATTCTAGCTTAGTATAAAATTGTGCACCACATAAAAATTGGTACCATTTTATCTTCTATCATGGCACAAGAACCAATATCTGATAATAAACACGGGCATTGCAGTTATTGCAATACTTGTTGTTTTATTGAGTGTAGCAAATGCTACACTATATTAAATTATCAGGGAGAACTGCATAACTGTCCCGATGGGGAGAATAA